AAATTCAGCATGGTGGTATCGCCGACGTTTCTTTATGTGTCGTGAGGGCGTGGTCGTCCTTTTGCGCGTCTACAACTTAGACCCTGGTTGTGGTATGTCTCAACCCCACAAATATAGCACACTTGTAGAGAACTTGCCGGTAATCTGTATGTGGACATTTAAAAAGTGGTACACATACATAATGTATTCATCCGCAACATGCAATCACCATATGTGCCCATAAAATGCACGAGATATGTTAACCTGGCGTCAATCAATTCTTACCTTAAGGTACATGCGTGCTGGCAACTTGTATGAGTTTAATTAACCAGGTGTCAGTTTCTCCTTACTTTGCAGGTCTTGTGTGCGGGTAATTTGTATGAGCGAGCCGTTTCGTCGGCGGAGGGTGGCAAGGTTGCTTGGTCGCTGCAAGGGCGGTGTATAGCCGTGCTACGTGTATCGGGCGAGACTGGTATGTTCATTTTGTTTGCTAGAGTGCGCATATTTTCATAGGCGCATTCAGTGCATTCAGAGTCTAGATCAGACCCATTTTTTTCGTAAGTGGCATCCAGTTCCTTCCAATTTCTAGTAGGGTACTCTGGTTAGCATTATGATTTCACGACTAATGCACCAATTTATAGTATCTGATTGTCTTCTACATTTTTTTTTGATTAGGCTGAAATATGATTAGGTTATAATAATTGATTTACATGTACATGGGCCAACAGCCTACCTTATTAGCGCATCACTATCCTCTCTGAATATGCAGTGTCTGTAGGCTTTGAACCTGAAACGGGAACGGAACTCAACTACGATGATGTAGATAGTTTCTACGGTCAAATAGAGAAGGATACGTATGTGTTTTCTGAGCCTTCGGTTAGTGTTTGCATTCGTCTACTCTCAGTAACTTCATCTGGTCACTCGAGTTGTTCCCAGGAAAATTAAACTCTAGCTTTGCACTCTGCATCTTATATACCCTCAATCACTCGTCTCCTGTGGTCATTTTGATGCGACATGACAGGTGAGGTGAATTCACTGCGCCTGGTACACCTGTACTAGCGTAATTTATATAGGTTGCTTCACATGCGTAACCATACCTGCAAATATGTGCATCGAGCCAACAATCTCCAAAAGTGCTACTTTAGATGCATTGACTGCCTTTCGTTGAGGTGTTAATTCGCATTCAATAACTACCACAGGTATGAATGGGTCCCAAACGCTACGGCCACCTTCGAACGCATCCCGTACGATAAGAGGGAAGAGAAACTCGGTGATCTACTCGACAACACAGATACGATGACCATGTTTTATGAGATGGGCAATAAAAAAAACCGGGATAATGCGTTTGGACTGGAATTTGAAAGTGCCAATGAGGGCATCAGTTTAGAGGTATACATGTTCATAACAATTTTTTTTAGCCATATGAACCTATTTTAGTATTCATTGGCGCCCGTATAGTATAACTTGAGTACGTACCCGTAACAAAGTTCTTGCCCATTAACTATGTGGATTTTCGGTAATTCTAAATTGATCCCACGCACTTCGCAACGTTAAATCTCAGTCTTTCATGGTTTCCTCATGCCATCATTGTCACAGATGTTTGAGGCTGTGGTTGCGCTGCTAATGTGGTGTGATGCAGGTGCAGTGGCCCTTGCCGATATAGGCCTTTCATCGGAATCCGACCCGGAGGAGGCTGCCGAGGCATGTTGCATTTCTATACCGAATCGATGCCCAATATGTACATTCCTAATTTGTTATACTATATGTGTCGAACGTTTTTCAAACTGAAATAGTAGCAAGTTTATATGCAGTGGGTACTGTTGATGGTTCTGCAAGCGGTTCTGGCTGACTGATACATGTGGCGTAGTATTTAAGCATACCTATTTTTTTATTTGATGGTTACCCACAGGAGCGCAAGCAGATCAAGAAAAAGCAGAGCTCGGATCTCAATGTGAAATTACGGTCTATTGTGCTGTGCGATGATTGAAATAAAGTTGGGTACATACTTTGGGTTCATCGTACGCCGGTAGATGTGTGGTCTTATTCGTGCACTTTGCGATGTGGCAATGTCTGGACTCGTCAAGTAAGTTGATGTAAATATGCCTTGCCCCTCTATTGGCGTGTTCGAATATTGATTCAATAATCAATTAATTTCAAAACGAGATGTGATCATGTACATAGCAGGAATTTTTTTGCCGGTAAACGATTCTCGAATTGTGCCGGATATATATTTGTTTCATTTATTGAGTGTTGCCGTTTTTTTCTATCCAAAAGCATGTTACTCTCGATGATGCTCAGTCTATATAAGGGCATATTCTCTACTTTGCTCCTATATAAGGAGACATTCTCTACTTTATAACATTCGCCGGTATTTCTATCAGTACGCGAACCCAGGTGAGCATTTATTTTGTGGATTCATTGTCTGAAAACATAAGGCGCAGAGCAGATTTCCGAGATTGAGACTTGTCATAGCCGCTGATCATTTTCAGATCCTCCAAATATGTATCGGTAGGTGTGGAGGGGGCATATTTCGTACCTATAACAACAATTTCCTCGTAGTCGAATATCGAACCGGATTCTAATTTCAACCAGTCAGTCTCAGTATCTGGGAATGGATATACCTCAGCCTCTGTGGCATATGAGTGGATCTTGGACATGCCTTCCAACAATGATACGTGAGTACCCAAATTCGTGTACGTGAACAGGTAGTTTCCAAAGTAGTCGGGATTTGTGTAACCCTCACCGAATCTATTGTAGAATTGTTTCAAGATACTTGCAGCGCGAACCAACGGCAGCAAACCATATGAGTAGTAGTGGCGACTGAGCGGTCTGAAAGTCTCGTACGGCAGTATGGCATCATAGCTGAACTGCGTATCCATAACATTAGTTGTTATATCCCCCATCGCTTCCCAAACATCGTCGGGCTGCAGAGTTCTAGCACTCAGATAAAATCTCAGGAACGCCTCCCACGTAGCGTGATTGTTGTACGTATCACCGGCCTCGTTAGCCATCTCACTATTCTTCATCCACTTCAAGAAGTCGCCCTGCCACTGCTGGAGTTTGTCATGGTCCGAATCACTCCAGTGCTTACTGTGGCCTGCCTTCAAGACTTCCGCGCACTCGAACACATCGAGTGGAAATCGCTGCATCTCAATCAAGCCATATTTCTGTCCCGAAATATCTGTGCCTGGGATACCTTGAGCGAAATTCATATGAGGGTTCATACGGGTATCTTTGTTTACAAACCAAGCTTGCAACCACTTGGATGCCATTTCGGCATACTTCTCCTCACCACTGTACCAGAAGGCCATGGAACCAGAATAAATTGCACTTAACATCCTATTTCTTGCATCTTTGTCATGTTTCAAATCCGCGTGCGGATTTACGTCCCCATCGCACTTAACATATACGTCTGCTTCGTAACATTTTTTTTCAGCTGCTGGAGCAAAGTCTTTGTATAAACGCTCGTATTGCTTATTTGTGAGTGTATCCTTAAAGTCACTATCCGTGAGCAGTTCATGGCGTGCCATGTCATCTGCAGTGTTGGACTCGTTGACACACAAATCCTCGTCTAGGCAAGGGGCCTCGTTCGCTAACCAATAATACGGCGAGAAACTGACTGTTGAAAGAGACATCGGCTATTTGTTAGTTTCGAAGTTTTCAATTGAACATGGGGTACATTTAGTGGAACTCATCGACTATCGCAAGAAACTGCCACAGCGACGCACAGTCTTGTAAAAAAATGCAGAATCGAACAGATCAATATATACTTACAATAGTCATTAATTTCCGCTCCGTCAAATGGAGGTGCTTTACCCTTATCAAGCACAGTTAGAAGATCCATCTCCATATATGTTTCAGCTCTCTCGATGATGTCGGTGACTGCATCAGCAATCTCATCCTGATTCGCTCTTAGAAATAACATGTCTTCTCCATCCATATATAGCGTGTTGGGTCTGTCTACAGAATGTAAAGCCCTAATGGAAAGGCCTTCTGCCTCGAGCACGTATGTGGCCAGGACACAATTAACAATGAAGAATCTCATATTTGTTATTATAGAATCGAAATTCCAAAGTGTAATTATATGAATATATATATACTGCTATTTACCTATTTATATACATATTTACGAGGAAGTTGTTTGCGTTTAGTTTGGAGATTCGTGTGTATTCAATTTTTGTATACACACATGATGTGAAGATGTTCAATTTAGGAGGCTATGCGAAAATAAAGTGAAATGCAGGCGCTATATTTTTCGCCCATCTGATTTTTAATTTTTAATTTTTAATTTTATTTAGTTTTATTAAACGAATTCTCTGAGAGTCTGTGACTCTGTGACTACAGACCCTGTGACACTGTGTTGTAAATATTTATTTCATTTTTATTTATAAATATTTGTTTCTTTTTGTGTAAGGCTATGGTTTTTGTTAAAAACAAAATGTAATAACAACAATACAAAAACAAAACAAAACAAAATTTTATTTTATTTTATATATAGATCTATGGTAATATTGTGAAGTATTTTGTTTAAAAAAAAAAGATGTTCCTTTACAATATTTTTTATCAATATGAATACTCTTAGTGATATTTAGAGTAAGAGAGAGGAGAGAGCTGTGAACGTGGAGCTAAGCTCGTAACGAAAAGGGAGTACGGGATAGAAGTTGTGCGTGAACGCATAATTATTCAATTTTAAAACGATACAACGGTTCTAATGTGATCAGAAAGGCCCACCTAAGTTCTTTTTATAGGACTGGTTACTATGGTAAAAACGGTAAACACTTAAATGTTTAGACCCGCAAGTTACACCTATGAGCATACAAAGGACCGTATATGAAATAAAAGTTGAACGTAAAGGTATATTTATTCGATTTATAAAAGTTGAACGTAAAGGTATATTTATTCGATTTATAAAAGTTTTAACGGAAGACGGTCTGAGGTCTGGCGTGGAGTGCCGTGGACAATCCAGTGTTACTGGACAGTGGACAACTGGACACTGGACAGTGGTGTCATCTGTCGTGGAGACGTGGACTAGACGTGATGTCAGAGAGTGGAGAGTGAGACTGACTGACTTTTTATTTATAAACAGATAGAGAAGGAGATTCAAACGCTTTTTACTCACTAGCTGCTCACAACACGTTTCGACTTTCAGAATGAGAATTTGGAGCTTTCACTTTGACGGTTTGACCTGCCTTTCGCAAATTCAAAATTGTCTGTTTCAATTTAGAAGGCTATGTCAAATGTCATATTATTCATGCATAGCCTTCTGAAGTTCTATTTTTGTTCTAAAATCGACATAAAAAGGTTGTAAATTGTGAGCAGTAGTATAAAACACCTAGACCTGATAAAGAGGACTGGTCCTGACCTGGCCTACTCTGAGGACTAAGACTGATGTTATATATTAGGACAATCCATACCATGTGCGGACTGTGAGCCTGGGACTAGCCAGTAGCCAGGCCATTATAGTAGACGACTCTAGATCAGGAGATCAGTCCTTTCACTTTGTGCACTAGTAGTCCAGTAGATGTGACAGAACATCTATATTTAGCTTAGTTTAAACTCTACTACATACTACTAGTAAATATTGTTAAATAAAAACACGGCTGGGGCGCCGCAGGGACCAAATGCGCCACTCATAAGTAGGTAGCTAATAACTTATGAATATATCCGCACAGGGTGAGCTGAGGGTGAGATACTGAGATTTCTTGATGGACCCTTTCTCCCTCACTTTCACTCAACACACACTCAAATACGTAAATACTGTTGTTCAGTCACACACGCTCACACATAAACACACTCACCCATGGGCGGGGGGGGGGGCCGGAAAGCCCCCCTGCCTTTTTTTTATAAAACAAATTTTCTTTTCAGCCGTCAATATCGGACCCACAAAAGTATGCTCTATTTTTTGAAACAAATTTCCATTTAAGGTCTCTCGGGGACCTCTTGGGGGCCTACAAATAAGGGAAAAGCGTTCCAGACAGCTTTTAAGTTCAATAAATGATATAGGGACTCTACAGCTACGCTTTCGGTGAAAAGTACAGTGTACACTGTAAATACAGTCTACTTAGGCGGTTCGGATGTGCTACTTTGGTTTAGAGACCCCCGCCCCCTGTATTTTGAACTTTCGGCAATTTAAGGACTTATAAATTTGGGTGCATTTTTTAGACATTTAGTTCAATATTGACCTAAATATTTAGCATACGTATATATATCTGTAAAGTGATGACTGTGCCCCTTGCGTAGCTATTGGCAGAGAAGAATTTTCGGCGCGAAAAGGCCGAGCAGGTTCCAAGCAAAGAAAAGGTCCTAATGACGTACCATTCTATGCGTTCTGATTGGCCCTAATGTTGGTACAGGTCAAAGTTTAGTCGTTTGTTTTGTCCCCCCCCCACCTCGATTTTGGACCACCAAATGTCTCTAAACCAAAGTAGCACATCCGAACCGCCTTACTATGTACTACATATATTTACATAGAAAAAAACCATTTGTGTTTCTTCTTTTCTTTCTGACCAGCACTGTACCCATCTATTTTACTCACTACAATTTTATATTTAGTGTTGTATGCAGAATGCAGAATGCAGATCGGTCAGTCAAATATTGAAATACTATGGTCGCGACTCGCAACTCACAAGAACTCGAAAGTCGAGTCTCGGGCTCTCGGCTTTCAAGGGCCAAAGCCGGAGTCAGGAGTCAGGAGTCAGGAGTCAGGAGTCTGGACTTCAACACTTCGAATCCTTCGAATGACGAATGACTATAATCTATATAGTATTTAAATTACATCGTTATACGTAGTTATAAATAACGTGAGGGCTGAACCTCTGATGAGTCTGAGACTCTGAGCCCTCAGGCCTGAGGCCTGAGGCCTGAAGCCTCGTGCATTTATTTTGTACACAAATATGTATGATATCCTCGGAGGTATTTATTTTATTTTTACAATAAAATCAAAATCAAAATTGTTGTATAATTTATAGATAAAAAAAGCTTCTGACATACGCATTCAGTTTCAAATTAAAACTCGTATATATGTATTTACTAAATATGTATTTACATACTCTAGCAACTCGTAACTCGCGTCAGAACCTATCCAAATAGGCAAATACAAAACCCTTTTTATATACACGTTGATTTTAAAGTGCTAACTCGTCTACTGAAAAAAAGTAAAAAACTACGTGGCTAGAGTAGAGAGAGAGAGAAAGAAGAAAGAACAAAATATTTAAATATGGCTGATCGCACTGCGCACTGCAGTGATCGGCTATTCAAAAATCGTTTATATTTATTGTTATAAAAAGATATCAAAGAGGGATATTGCCCAGAGGGAGCCTCAGGGGACAGGGAGGCCTTCGCCCTCCGGGCTCTATTTATGTATTTATATTATGTATCAGATCTGAGATCTGAGATCTCTCTACTTTTTATAAAAAAAATAGAAACAAACAAAAGAGAGAATATCGATCAGTATGCGGGTATTGTAATAGTTACAGTGCACAGATGCAGTCTGACCTATACTGATACATCGCCCTTCAGAAAAAATTCGAATTGGCCTATATACATACGAAACATGTAATTGAAATTTTGGCCCAAAATTTGTACAGTGAGATCGGCAATGAACTAAAGAAGCCATAGCCGTCGAAAAAAAACGGCCAAATCAAGTGATTGGTGTTCTGTATGTTGTAGCTATATTTGTGACATGGTGGGCCAAAATTGTCTGTCAGAACCATCGCTTGATGCATCATCATCATCGGGTGTATATTCGGGACGCTGCGTTATCGACGTGAATCGGTTATGAGCGTCACGCTGAGCATGCCTAGAGTCACACCCACCATCTAGTGTTTAGAACACTCCCGTTGATTCGACATGCCGTGTCTCAAGACGGATACTTGCCGTACTTCGTGGTATGTATACTGTGACCAAGTACAGGTTCAGGTGTGTATATTATTGCACAAAAAGGGAGATTTCTATACGATTTGATGATTTTGACATTCATCAATCGATCTTTTAAATGATGCAGCAGCTCGATTTCTGCCCTTCAGAAACTCATATTTCGGACTGAAAGGGTCACATAGACAAGCGGCCAATTTAGGATTTTGTTAGAATTTATCGGCGAACAGACCAAAAATTCAAAAATGCGTCCGGGTGACATTCTTGTCCTAATCAAACAATCTCCGCAATCTAATGTTTGAATTGGATCACTGGTATTCCATGCACACATAAAGTAGGGGGTCTTTGGACGACGCATTTGACAAAAATGTTGCTTCATCGACTGAGAACCCACCCCCTCCAGACATAAGAGTCACCGATTTCACAAACAAATTGCAGCAATGGATTGTAAATTTGGGGCCAGCACCCATGGGTTCGATTTCGTTGTTTCCGAGATTATCGTTTATAGATCAATATCATTCATCACGCACTTGTGTAAATAGACCCTCTTCTATTTACTGATATTTCTGCAAAACATCAATACAATTGGATATCTACTGTACATCTCCAAGCACACACGGATGCATACAATAAATGTACCCCACTGAGCGTCTGGCATCTATATGTATAGTTATGTCACGGACCATATACGACCATGATTTTATCAATCGTGTATTTCTCATTTGTATTGTATTCGGCCACACTTCCAGGAAACTGGGTGACCGAGTATGGATTCAGAATAAAATGTCTTCGCATATAACTTACGCGTGTCCGTGAATGATGAAATACTCTTGTGTTATAAACTCGTTTGCAGCGCAAATACAAAAATTACATCGAGTTTTATGTAGATGTCTTATTCGCAGTATGTGTCTCCACATTTAAGCAATACCACATAAGCTATTCATGCTTTATCGGTTGATGCACTACTTCCGATGCAAAAGCGTTTCTATGTTAATGAAAGATCTTTTGGTAAGTATGAAATTCGCAACAAACCCGTAACAATTTACTGCTTTTGTGATAGATGCTAACTTAGTAGCTAATGTGGCTGTATTCGGCCATTGACAGCATACAAGATCACTAGCTGTCTGTTGCAGATCCTTGACAAGTGAACAGAACATGTACTGTGCCCGACGAGAATACGTTACAACCAAAC